GGTAAATGTGATACCATTGATTTTTATAATTAAAACCTGATATCTACCATTTTTTATCAGTTATTGAGTGAATAACTTCAAAACTAAGTCGATTTGAAATGATAATAGCCGTTCCCCTTTTTTTCTTTTTACCTTCTAAATTTGCCGCATAAACTGTAGGGAATTTTTTATACTTCCATAGTCTATCGGGAGTTTCGAACCAGAGAGCCTTCTGAATAAAAGCTACATCAATTGAATTTTCAATTAGGAATTTATATACAGCTCCCTTTTTTTGAGGTGAATTCATGCCCTGGACATTCCAAGTAATTATTTTAAGTGACATCTCTATTCCAAAAATCCCTATCCCATCCCAGACCGAGTCTCAAGCAGCCAAAAAATAAAAAAATAAATTGTGAACAAATAAGACATAAAGGGGAATATACCTCCCACCTTTAATAATCCAAGAGGAGATCATTCCCATATGACTCTTGGACTAGCCTGCCTTGATATGCAGGAAAATAAGGTTCCATTGAAAAATGTAAGAGACACCTTAATATAAACAAGTTTTAACCCTTAGCCAGCATTTTCACACCCCCAGAACAATTGCTAAATTTTTATCCATGACAACATTTATATATAAATTAAAGGATATGGTTATTTTTATCCCTAACATACTTTGTATATGTATATCTATATAGGCTAAACAAATTTAAAGATAAAATTATTAGTTCAGGTTACTTATCTTATATTCATCATTCGATTCCCCACCTTGTAAGATATAAACATGTAAACATATAATTGTGGGTATAAGTAAATCATACTGTTATTTATATCAGAGAATCCATATCCATAATAACATATTAACCAATCATAATGTCCTTTCCCCTCTCTTACCCTCTCCTCCTCACCCTATATCATATTCAACATATTATTATATCAATACCACAATAAATAAGTTGTTCCAACTCGTATTCCAATATTACATCAGGATAGAGATGAGAGAAGAAGAGAAAAGAAAAAAAAAAAATTGTATATATACACAGGATATCCAATTATTAACTTGTACAGCTTCAAGCTTTTCCCTTTTCTCCCTTCTTCCTTTTCCCTACCCCCATCTTAGTAGTGTCAGTAAATTTAAGACAATTTTGTTCTTTGTGCATTTAGTGTTACTAATTATTAATATAATAGCCCAATATTTATGAAGTCATTATTAACCCCAATTCTCGTAAATAGATTATTTCACCCATTTCCTTATATTTAATGTGTTATAAAGTATTGATATATCACCCTAATATTTTAAATTTGTGATATGATTAATTTTGGTGTATTATTATGAAATGTGATTGCCTATTAAGTATTACTTCCTTATATTATAAATATATCCCTCTAATAGTACCCTCCCCCATCATTCTCTCTCTCTTCCTTCCTCCTTTGCAGAAAAAAAAAAAAAAAAGGGGAAGGAGGACAAAGGAAAACTTGCATTTAACATTGCTATTCTATGCTAACTTCCATGTTAATATAAACAGTTGTACATCCTCTACATTTTTAAAAAAAAATTGTTGATCTTGATAATAAACTTGGAGAGCCGTTGGAAAATTCAGGATCATCAAATCCTTTATTCTGCATAGCTTGCATAATCCTATTCTTCACCTGGTTATTAGAAAAACATACTATTGTATCTCTGGGCACGTTAGATGACAAATGTTTTGGTTTGATTAATCTATGAAATCTCTCAAATGGTAAATCTCCTAGAGGACAGTCAGGAGTAAGTTTTTGAAAGAGGGTTTTTAGATATTGTTCCAATTGATCAAATTTGATATTTTCAGAAATCCCTCTTACTTTGATGTTGTTCCTCCTTGAGCGATCTTCTAAGTCACCCATTTTTGTTTCTATGGTTAGTATTTTCCCCTCCAAATAATTGCATTTCCTCATCAATTCCTCATTATTAATTTGTAATTGCCTAAGACTGTCCGCTTGTATTTGCAGATTTAGAGATAAATTTAAGATCTCCTCTTTTAGTATTTTGGAGTTATCTTCTGCATCCTGTTTCAATTTAACATATAAATTCTCCAATGCATCGTTCAATGTTTGCAGTGTTACCTCCTGTGAAGATATTTGGATTTGTTCTTGAGCTAGAGAAATAGATTCCCTTCGTTCTCCATGGGATAGTCTACTCAAAGTACTCCTTTCTTGAAGTTTAGGTGAATAAAAAATATTAACACCTTTAGACTTGTCTGCAGCTGTATTGCTATTTTTCTCCTTTTCTTTTTCTTTTTTGGGAGGCATTATCTTTTATAATAGTCTATTTCTGTAGATATTTATTAGATATAACTATATATCAACATTTAGTTGAGGTATAAATTCCGCCGTTGTCTAGCTGGTATAACCGTGACTATTATCTAGAAGCAATCGCTGTAAACGTCACGAATCTGAGAAAGCGGTCACTACGTCTATAGCAATTATTTGGGAGTAGTCATTAGAGATGGCATATGTCCATATTGAATTTCTTCTCTTCCTATTTCTAGTTTTAGCTGTAGCCCAGCAGTTCTCCTGGTTAGCAAACTTCAATTTCATATATATACATAGGATATCCAATTATTAACTTGTACAGCTCCAGCCTTCCAACATCAGTTTTATCTGCTCGAGCTTAGCATTCTGTTATTTAAGCACAGATTTCCACCATAGTCTAAAGAACTGTCCTTATATCTTTAACGATTATCTTGAAGCAATCATTAAGGGTGCCGTATATCAATCATCAATTATCCATTATAAATTTCATATATATACACAGTATTGATTGCACCACACCAATCTTCCAACCTTCCAGCCTTCCAGCTTTAATTTTATATCCTTAGGCTTAACATTCTAGCTTGGCAATCAATTATTAGCTCGGTATCGATTTCTATTTTAGCAGTAATCCAGCAGTTCGATTGTTTAAGCACAGATTACCGCCAATCATTATATCTTCAGCAATCATCTGAGAACAGTCATTGAAGGTGCCGTTTATCAGTTATCAATAATAATAAATTTCATGTATATACACTATATTAACGGCTACTAATTGCACCACACCAACCTTCCAGCCTTCCAGCTTTAATTTTATATCGACAGGCTTAACATTCTGGCTTGGCAATCAATTATTAGCTCGATATCAATTTCTATTTTAGCAGTAATCCAGCAGTTCGTTTGTTTAAGCACAGATTACCGCCAGTCATTATATCTTCAACAATTATCTGAGAGCAGTCATTGAAGGTGCCGTTTATCAATTATCAATAATAAATTTCATGTATATACACAATATTAACGGCTGCTAATTGCACCACACCAACCTTCCAACCTTCCAGCCTTCCAGCTTCGATTTTATATCCTCTTGGCAATCATAGAAACATAGAAACATAGAATGTGACGGCAGATAAGAACCATTCGGCCCATCTAGTCTGCCCAATTTTCTAAAAACTTTCATTAGTCCCTAGTCTTATCTTATAGTTAGGATAGCCTTATGCCTATCCCATGCATGCTTAAACTCCTTTACTGTGTTAACCTCTACCACTTCAGCTGGAAGGCTATTCCATGCATCCACTACCCTCTCAGTAAAGTAATACTTCCTGATATTTTTAAACCTTTGTCCCTCTAATTTAAGACTATGTCCTCTTAGGAGTCAGTTCTTAGCTCGGTAACTAAGTTTGTTGAAAAGCAATAGAGGAGAGGCAATTAAAAAACAAAGATAGATTCTGCCATTATCTTCCTGCCGCAGCCGACATAAACTTTGTATTAGCCTTATATCAAACTTGTATCCTCAGCCTTAACGGTCTTATTATCCAGGTGTTGGCTCTATATTAGATACAACTCGAGCATCAAATTCGGCGTTATCAAGGAAAGAGCAGCCACTATATTTATACCGGTCATCTGGAGGTGGTCAGTGTGCTAGCTACCGCAGCCATGCGGGCGTCTCCTCATTCCTCGCTGGAACCACGTGGAACGCGTGCGTGCGTGTGAGTCACGTCATCACACCCCCGGAACCAATCATTGTTAACAGGAGTAGTCCCAGATGATTGGAAGTTAGCAAATGTTGTGCCCATTCACAAGAAATGTAGTAGGGGGGAGTTGGGCAACTATAGGCCAGTAAGCCTTACTTCAGTAGTGGGGAAAGTGATGGAAACCATGTTAAAGGATAGGATTGTTGAACATCTAAAAACACATGGATTTCAAGATCAGAGACAACATGGGTTTACTTCAGGGAGTTCATGCCAAACTAATCTTATTGATTTTTTTTGATTGGTAACTAAAATAATAGATCAGGGTGGTGCAGTAGACACTGCTTACCTAGATTTCAGTAAGGCTTTTGACCAGGGGCGGACTGAGAGCCTTTGGGGCCCCCGGGCAAAATTAGATCCCAGGCCCTTTGAAGGCCAAATATATGTGCATTAAATAAATGTTAAATATAACTCATAATACAGCATTCCTTTGGATGTGTATATTGTGAAGACCTGTGTATCAATGCATGTTTGTATTTGAGTCTGTGTGAATGCACTTGTGCATGTCGGGATGACTACATGTGCTTTTTTGTATATAGTGTCTGTGTGAATGCATATGTGACAGGTGACAGTGTGTGAGGGAGAAGGTGACAGGTGGAAGAGTGTGGGAGGTTGTGACAGGTGGCAGAGTGAGGGAGGGAGGGGTTGAGTGGTGGCAGAGTGAGGGGGAGACACAGTGAGTGGGGGTGACTAGTGACATAGTTAGGGAATGGGTGACTAGTGGCAGAGTGAGGGAGGGAAAAGATGACTAGTGGCAGAGTGAGGGAGGGAAGGGGTGACTGGTGACAGAGTGAGGGGATGACTGGTGACAGAGTGAGGGAGTGACTAGTAACAGAGGGAGGGAGTGACTAGTGATAGAGGGAGGGAGGGGGTGACTGTCACTAGTCACCCCATCCCTCTCTCTGTCACTAGTCACTCCCTCCCTAACTCTGTCACTGTGAAGGAAGGAAGGGGTGACTGGTGATAGAGTGAGGGGATGACTTGTGACAGAGTGAGGGAAGGGATGACTAGTAGCAGAGTGAGGGAAGGAAGGGATGACTGGTGACAGAGTGAGGGAATGACTGGTGACAGAGTGAGAGAGGGGGTGACTAGTGATCGAGTGAGGGAGGGAGTGGGTGACTAGTGACAGAGTGAGGAAGGGGGTGACACAGTGATAGTCAACCCATTCCTCCCTCTGTCACTTGTCACCCCTTCCCTCCCTCACTCTGTCACTAGTCACACCCTCCCTCTCTCTGTCACTAGTCACACCCTTACTCACTGTCACTAGTCACACCCTCCCTCTCTCTGTCACTAGAGTGAGGGGGTGACTAGTGACAGAGTGAGGGAAGGGAGGGGTGACTAGTGACAGAGTAAGGGGATGACTGGTGACAGAGTGAGGGAGGGGGTGACACAGTGACGGAGGGAGGTGGTGACTAGTGACAGAGTGAGGGAGGTGGTGACTGTCACTAGTCACCACCTCCCTCACTCTGTCCCTAGTCACCACTCCCTCTATCACTAGTCACCCCTTCCCTGCCTAACTGTCACTAGTCACACCCTCCCTCACTCTGTCACTAGAGTGATGGGGTGACTAGTGGCAGAGTGAGGGAAGGAAGGCGTGACTAGTGACAGAGTGAGGGAGGTGGTGACTGTCACTAGTCACCAGCTCCCTTACTCTGTCACTAGTCATCACCTCCCTCTGTCACTACTCCCTCCCTCCTTCTATCACTAGTCACCACCTCCGTCCCTCACTCTGTCACCAGTCATCCCCTCCCTCTGTCACTAGTCACCCCCTCACTCTAGTGACAGAGTGAGGGAGCGTGTGACTAGTGACAGAGAGAGGGAGGGTGTGACTAGTGACAGAGGGAGTGGGTCAATAGTCACACCCTCCCTCATTGTCACTAGTCACACCCTCCCTCTCTCTGTCACTAGTCACACCCTCCCTCACTCTGTCACTAGAGTGAGGGAAGGGGTGACTAGTGGCAGAGTGAGGGAAGGAATGGGTGACTAGTGACAGAGTGAGGAAGGGGGTGACACAGTGACAGAGTGAGGGAGGGGGTGACTAGTGACAGAGTGAAGGAGGAGGTGACTGTCACTAGTCACCCCCTCCCTCACTCTGTCCCTAGTCACCCCCTTCCTCACTGTCACTAGTCACCCCCTCCCTCACTCTGTCACTAGAGTGAGGGAAGGGGTGACTAGTGGCAGAGTGAGGGAAGGAAGGGGTGACTAGTGACAGAGTAAGGAAGGGGGTGACTAGTGACAGAGTGAGGAAGGGGGTGACACAGTGACAGAGTGAGGGAGGGGGTGACTAGTGACAGAGTGAAGGAGGAGGTGACTGTCACTAGTCACCCCCTCCCTCACTCTGTCCCTAGTCACCCCCTTCCTCACTGTCACTAGTCACCCCCTCCCTCACTCTGTCACTAGAGTGAGGGAAGGGGTGACTAGTGGCAAGAGTGAGGGAAGGAAGGGATGACTGGTGACAGAGTG